CCACGCGGGCTTTAGGATCGGCCCAGCAGGCTTTGGGATTGGCCCTTGCACGCTTGGCCTGTTTTTGGCTGAACTTTGGTGCGTGCCCAGACGGGCTTTCAACACCATAAAGTGAGAAGAGTAGGGGTGTCCAACGACCCTTCTTTAGGCAATGCCAGATAGATCCTGAGTAGAAAATCTGTGTTTTTCTCATTGTTTGTGGCTTTAGCTTTGCATATTTGTCTCCATAACATCTCTTCATCTGAGAGAGTGGTAAGCTTGGATGCGGAGGTAGGTGTCTCTGTGTTCAGTGGTGCTTTATTGACCACCAGCAACGGCCCTGGGTTCTCCGTCAACAAGAGTAGATTGCAATAGGCTGACAGTGTTTCTAGGAGTTGGTCTGTGTCTTTTGTGAGTTCTCCCTCAATGACATTGTCTTCTTGATTGACATCCTTTGATGTGTTTCTCTGCGTCTCTTCTCTCACTTCAACTTGGGAGAGTTCAATGATAGCTTGGGTACAATCTATGGTGAATATGTCAGTTAACCGCTACTTGGTTACTGGTATTTTAAGATATTTGGCAGCTGGAGTCACTAACTACTTAAGTGCTTGGCTTTGTTCAGTGGTCTGCTTGTCTCCTGAACATTATCTGTTAAGGTTGATTGAGTTGCCGCCGGTTGAGTGTTGCCTTCCTTTGTAACTTGCTTCTTCGCTTTCCGTGTTGTTTATGCTACCATATCTTCAGCCATTCTTCTGATGTTTGGGTTGTGAGTTGATTATATGTTGGTTGTTCTAGTGAGCTTGATTCTGGATTTAGTAAGACTAGGGTTCAGGGGTGGCTGCACCGCCCTGTTCTGTTTCGCTATAAAGCTAGTCGAAAGGTTCCACAATTAACACTATTCCCCTATCATTGTCCTTTCATAACGTGTCTAGGATCTATAATTTGCCCAAACTCTTGATTTGAATTATTAATAATAATCCACACATAAATAGGTGATTGTTATTTTAGGTCCAATGCTTACGAAAAGTTAACCTCTTCACTCACGTAACCTCCACTCCGTGCTCATCAACAATTCTTTGTACCTCCATTGCAAGTCACCCACATCACCAATCTTAATAAGTAACCCACAGACAATCTTAAGATAAACATCTGGATAAACATGACACGTTCAATACTTTTCTAATAAAATTTTAAAAATAGATATCATTTAATGAAAACTTCTTACAAGACCAACAGGCCACGCCACTTTAAAAAAAATTGGCAGGAGATTCGGTGAACTGAATACTATGGTTGTTACGTAAAAAACCCTTAGAATATCTTAGTACCAGGGCCGACACATTTCCTAAAAAGCTTACTCACAACGACGAGGACGCCATATTGATTTTGGCTGAGGGAATGACCACGTATCCATATGCAATCACCTAAATTCAAATTTCGAAGCCTAGCTGAGTGAATTCCCTCGGGGGGCACGAGGATCAAATTGACACTCTGATAAACGATCAGTATCAGTAGACCGTGCGCAGATTCAAGTCGAGGACAAACATTTCGCTCGTCAAGAGCCACAACTTCTATGTTTGGCCCTACGTTCAAGACAACGACCCATCCACGTACATCTAAAGGGCCCCTCGTGAGTCGATCAAATGGGAGAGGAAGATGTATTAAATTTGGAGCAGGCATGGCGATGTCAAATGAGGTAATGCTTGCGATTCAGGTTGCTTTGCCCGTCAATGCAAGCGACGCCGCAAGCGGCCAACGCATGCAACCCTTTCTAACACCAAAGGCAAGACTAAAAACCCAAAAATGACGACAATTCAAGCATGCCATGACCATATAAGGCAATGTTCTGAGCCCGGAGGGACGACCAACGTTTATCCTCCCCAGGACAACACCTCATGTGCATTAGCTGAAGCGGGCTCACAATAAGAGTGATGTGGGGCAGTGGGGAGGAGCCAAAGTTGAAAGCAATGCAAGAGAAGATGATGGTGCGGCTGATTGAAGGACAACTCAACAAGATACGAGAGCTGGAAAGGTTTAAGTTGCCATTTGTGTAGCAAATGGGGAACCGGAAAAGGAGAAAGGATACATCAGAATGGAAATTGCTCGGGTGTATGAGGTGATAGGTAATCTGGAGGGAAAAGACGGAGAAGGACAAAATTGAAACAAAGAAGGATGAAGGGGTATAAAAGGAGGCCACCGTAGAGCAATATGTAGAAGGCATCGTATGATTCTTATTCGGCGGCATCGCTTAGAATCATACGATCCGAGGTTAATACTCGTGATAGAATGGAGGTGTTATTTTTTAATTTAAGGGCGAGGTGGTTTGCTTATACCTAAACTGTTAATATGAAAAATGAAACACTTAAAAAGGGGCGTGTGACGTAATGGGGTAGCTGGAGTGAGTTGAGGGAAGGAGCATCAACCAATGTGAGGCTGAGAGTTTCAGAGAGAGGAGAAATGATAAACTCCTCTCCTAGGGGGGATCTGGTGGTTGTGCTCTGCCAGGCCTGCCCTGACCTCTCAGCCTGGGTCATAGCTCCAGTTGCTTGTGATCTTGGACTTTGGCCACATCCGCTATGCACTCCTGTCTCCCCAGAAAGATGTGTCAGCATGGTGGCATAAGACTTATTTTTGAAAGTTTTTTCTTGT